GTTCTGGGTCATTGCAGGAACTCGAAGCACCTGGAAGCGGAGAGTCAGTCTCGTCTGTCCATGTCGTCAACAATCAGAAGTGAATGCGGAGCTTACAGTAGAACAAGGTGCTTGTCATTCTCTTCGTCATCGAGGTAGCCGCTGTATAGCTTGACCTTGTCGATGCCGAGCTTGGAAGGGTCGCCTTCTTGGCGCGGAGGTTGTAGTTCTCGAGGTGGCCGCTGTACTGGCGGTGCTTCTCGCCGGCCTCCTTCTCGACCCCACAGGTCGTGGATTTCGGCGCCCTTGACAACATGGTCCCATGCCGAATCAGGCTTGCGGACATGGGGCTTGGGCTGGGACAGTTTGGCCGTCTTCTTGAAGGCCTCGACGGCCTCAGGGGCGAGAAGAGTGATCTCGTCCCAAACGGCCTTGGCCTCGGAGGTGATGTCGTGGAACTTCTCCTCAAAGACATTCATCCAGGACTCGCCGGCGACCTTGATGGACTCGTAGCTGTCGCCACCGAGGACGTGCTGCTGGTCCAGGCCAGCAACGGCGGTAGCTGCGCCCAAGGCAAGGGCAGAGGTAGACAGTCTCATTGTGAAGATGCGTTTCTACCTCCTGTGTGTGTACAAGATGTGGGAGATGGAGATGATGGTTAGATTGTTGCGAGGGGAAGGGAGGAAGAGGAAGAGGGAAGGACGGAGGCGTGGATGATGGGGCACAGCAGGGTTGATGAGGAGGGAGGGGGAGCTCTGTTGTGACGACGAGCAGTGCGGGCGTTTGGGACCCGCCAAGGTGCTGGGGGGAACGAGCAGCAAGCGCAGGCTGCAGCTCAGACGGCAAGAACCACGCAAACCACCCGCAAGCTGCCCAGAAAGGTGCAACAAAGTCGCCGCATGCCAGGCACATGACGAAACAAGTGGGTACAGATAACCGTTTCGGGTTTGGCGCCATCTTCCCCGGTTGCCGCAGTGGCGCCTGGATGCCTGGCTGAGCGACGTACCTTACCATGGGGGACGGCCAGCTGTCGGCTGGCCTGTGCGCGGCCTCCTGCCTAGGTGACCTGACTGGGCTCGGCCGATGATGACTAAGTGCCAACCTACAATTTGGTACCTAGGTGAGTCTACAGTCCTCACTTGTACTCGAGCGAGGATGCAAGTGCATGGTATGAGAGGTACTGTGGGTTGGTTCATGGATTGAGCAGAGTCGAGGAGCCTGGCCCTGACCGATGCGCCGCCTACTTCCCAGTCGACCGCGTAGATGCCTAGTCTTCTGCTACCCTCCCCAAGAAAAAGTGCCCTTCTGAGACGTGGCTTACAAGCCTCGCTCATTCAGTCAGTCATACTCGCTGAACTCATATAATGCCTGCCGCCTTCCGCCTTGCCCTTGCTGTGACTGAAGCAAATACCATGCCTATCAGGTCAAGCTATCGCCATACCCAGCGCCGAAAACCATTGCAACGCCTCTTCTATCCCAGTCATCCCGTATATCGAACCCGCCGGTGAGAGACAGTCGACGCACCGTGGTGAGCGGATAGTCACCTGCCGTGACGCTCTGAAAGTCGTCGACGGCGAGCGCTCGCCAGCCTCGCTCGTCTCGGCACCAGATGCAACACAGCACCGCATGTCTACCTGTTCTCGGTACCGGCCGGCTGCGCGTCACTAGTGTGGTATAATACATTCCGCGGCGCAAAAAAAGAAGAAGAAAAAAAAAATCCCCTGTCGTGCCATCGTTTCGTATCTCCTTCGTCACCGACAGAAGAACTACTGACTCCCGCCGGTTGTGTCGCTCGCCGAGAGTGAAGGGCTTGCGCCCCTGTTGCGCCTAAAAAAGGGAAAGTTGTTCATCCTGAACCGGCTGGTTTTCTTCCTGAGTACCTTGGCCCCTTCGGCTTTGCCAATGCTGCCGTTGGATCCATTCGATTCCTGGGTGTGCAGGAGCGACTCCGTCTTCGAGCCATATGGGTCCTTCGGCTCGGCGATGACGGGGATGCTCATACGCCGTTCTGCTGATTCTCTGCTGACAATGCTTGTCCCCTGGGTGCTCGGCGAGAGTGGCATCTTGCCGGTTGTCGCGCTCGTCGCTTGCGAGGCCCAGTCACCCGAGACATGGCCGGCCGCGCTGCCGTCGGTTGTCTCGCTACATCGTTGCTTGTTGTTTTGCTGCGTGGGGTGGTCCCGGCATACTGCTCGGCTGCTCGCGACTGTGGAACGGATCGCTCGCAGCAAAGTCAGTAACAGACTCAAAATCCGACACAAAGCCGCCGTTGACTTCCTTGTACTCCTCTGTCGTGTTAGGAATGTGTGCTGGCTTGCTCGTCGGATTCGAAGGCGGCGGTGAGAGTTCTTTTTCGTCCGTCTTCTTCCCGTCAGTGAGTGTCGAGGGCGTAGGAATATCGGCCAATGGTGAGCCTGCCTGGGCAGTAGGTGGTGTTTGCGTGTCTGATTCAACCACGAAGCTCATAGTACGCGGTGAAAAGGTTCCCTCCTTCAGGAGCCTCTTGCGAACAGGATCTTCCTTGGCCTGCTCTTCATGCACTCGCCCCTCAAAAAGAACCTTGTTCCGTTCGAGCTCGTCCACAGTATATTGCATCGTGGGCATGATGTCAGCAACACCCTGGAAGAGAGGAATGGCAAACATGTTCATAAAGCCGAGCTGAGCCTTGGCAAGTGAGACGAGGTCTTTCTTGGGAGTTGCCAGGAGCGACGACTGAATCTCGAGCTCATTCTCCATGGAAGACTGTCGTGAGAATTCGTCGGAAAGGATGAACATCCACTGAAGAGCAGCTTCATATTTCCTGGCCTGGATTCATGTTAGCCTGGGTGGGCACTCGTTCGCAGTTTGCGGAAAGAAAATGTACGTACCACGTTGCTGATGTCCGCGCACTTGATGAGCAGTGAGCAAGCCAATGCCTTTTGCTCCTCCACCATGCGCCCATTCCAGCCATCAGTGGTGCTGTTGACCTCGAGCTTTGCCTGAAGATCACCCAGCTTCTTCATGTAGTCAAAGTGCAGCCCCATATCGGTCGCAAGAATAGAACTGATCATCAAATTCCGCATCTTGGAGTCCTCGAAGACGGCAGGCCAATACCTCCGCAGAATTTGCGAGTAGGCAGCGCAGTGGAAAGACTCCAACACAGAGCGGTCATTGTACAGCCGAGCCAGGGGGGCATTGAGTGTGACGAGGAAGCCGTTGTTGACACCGGGGTGACCAACATCGTGACCGATAGCAGTGATGAGCAGGGTCAGGCCGTCAACGGGGCTCAATAGATCCGCGACAGGTGAGGTGGCTGGTGCTTGGGAGTGAAGGTCCAAGGGGTAGGGTGAGATGATGCCAATGTGAACGAGGAAATTGAAGGTAGCCTGGAGGACATCCACGACATGACGGAAGTTGTGATAAGGCACGAAGCTGTTGTAAGCAGCCCGGCATGCGACCAGAAAGTTGATGAGTTGGTCTGGCGTTGTGTCAGCGGGCGGGCACAAGCAGAAGGCTTGGACGCATTGGGTCTACTCACCTGCGGGTATCCGCCAACGCTCAAGCTGCGGCATGGAGAGGGCGTGCTTGAACATGACCATGGCCGCCACCAGCAGCTCATCGTCGGAAAAATCATGAGCGCAAAAATGCCAGCTCCCGATGGCCGTAGCAATGGCGGCCTGTCGTTCCGTAGAGACAGCTATGCTGACGTTGGCAATCTTGTCGTCATCGTCAGTTGGAAGCCGGCATATCCCCTTCATAAGGCTGGACACCATAGCCTCCCGAAGGTACGCAAACGGTCTCTCTTCGTTCACACCCACCCACGACCGTTTCCTCCCACGACGAACCTCCAGAATGGCTCGTTGTTCCTTCGCAGCATCCTTTCGTACTCGATGGGCGTGAATCTCAAGACTCATGACGCACTTTGCGTGCATGGGCCTCAAGATGACATCGGCAGCACCGAGGTCAAGGCACCGCATGACGAGCCGACGGTCGACAGGCCGAACTCCAGCCAAATAACTTCCGGCGTCCTGCGGGGAAGAACCCCTGTTCACGATCGCCTGTCCGATGAGCAATATTGGCACGACCAGCTTTGAGAGGCTGCGGAGATGAGCCTCAGTCATGATTCTTTGCAACAGCCTGAGCCCGTACACCTCCTCATCCGGAGTGTGAATCTCTACTTCTCTGGATTCAGGGCGTGACATGGGTGACGGCGATCTGGACCTCGGCTGAGGCTCCTCGGGGATGTGTTCGTCGTCAGGAGTATCAATAAGAACCAAAGTAGGCCTTAAATCCACGATGGAGCCTTCTTGGATGTCGTACAAGGAAGCCAGACATGCGCTGCCGGTGGAGCAAAGATGGACTATAACATCAAGATCAGTACTTCACTTGCCTGCGCTCAGTAACCCGCGACGCACCTTCGCTAAACGACTCAAGCAGGACCTCGACATCTTGTCGCAAGTCTTCCGATTCCCATTGTAGCTCGGACGAGATGTGGTTGGCATCCTGTGCCTGCTTCGAAGGGGCGGTAACTCTTCTGTCCGCGCCAAAGCGGCGGTTTACATAGACAACGTGGAGCTTAGAATGATCCATCGCGTTTCGCGAATAGAGGGGGGTGCAACCGGCCTCGCGACCGGAGCAGCCTCGGAACCGGAAGAGCAGAATTCGAGACTAAGCAAACTGCGTAGCTAAGGCACTGATATGATGGCTCCTCGAAGAATCGGCACAGCCGTGCTGATCGCAACGGCAAGGTAGCGAGCTAAGGCGAGGGCGATGCCCAAGGCGTCTCTCTCGTCGAGTGCGCGTTTCGATCCCCAGCTCTTTCTTTCACTGTCGCGAGAGGAGGCGGGAGGCCTAACGCAGTGGCAATGGAGCGCAATATCGCTCTGGAAAGCTGCGCCCAGGTGTTTACAGGCTGTCGATGCGAGGAAGGACAAGGGCGATGGAGAACTTGGGTGACATGGAATGCCTGACTCTTCGTTTCTTCGGAAAGTGGAGCGGGGATTGGCGATGGAAAGCCAAAAAGTGAGAGTTCAAGATCTGTCGGCGTTCGAGATGAAGATTTGGTTCATGTCGTGACACGAGGATAGCGTCTTGTGTCGTGGTGGTCGTCGTGTGGAAGGCGTAGGTGGCTCAATCGTCAAATGGGGTCGTGGAAGAGGAAAGAGACGGAGAGACAGAGAGAGAGGGCGAGTATGGCTGGTAGATGGAGGAGGGTGGTCTCTCGTTGTCGTGCAAGTTGGAGACGCGGAATGTCCGAGGAGCGAGGAACGTGTCTTGGTGCGTCCTTTGGTTCGTGGATCTAGTACAACGGAATTGGGAGGACAGAAGGGCAAGTGACGACAATGTCAGAAGGTTGGTAAGGACGGGAGACACGGTGCTTGCGATGCGCCAGGCAGTGAGGGTGAATTGGCAGGGCAGAGAAGACGGGAAAGAAAAGGCCAAGCGTGAGTCCACAGTGATGGGGTGGTACGCCGTATGGATTACCTGACCTGTACAGGCTGGTGGAGTCTAGAGGAGAGAGGGAGGGGGGAGAGAGATCGAGAGAACAATGGTCGGGTCGAGGACAAATTGTGAAGCAAGGGTTGGGGTTCGGGGGGGGGGGCAGGTGGAAGGGGGGGGTGAAAGGAACGCCTGCCACTCGTCGCCCCATGCCTCGCCTTCACAGTCAGGTACCTGATAGGCGAGGGTGAGGAGCAGGGGGGAAGCACTGTGGAAGGGCAAGGGTGGAGACTAGTGGGCTGGGAGAAGGGTTCAAAATTCGACATGGCGCCCTGTCGACTGCTGACGGAGGGGGTCCAAGGTGCGCCTGCAACCGAAGCTCAGGGGTGGGGTGGTTCAGGTAGGGTACTACTGGGCCTAACCTTAGGGGGTAGGTACGTTCCATGCGCTGCAGTCGCTGACACCTCCCAGTGACCACTGAACCGTCGTGTCGACGACACAGTCCCGGCCCTGATCGCAAATTCCTGACCTAGGGACATGTTTGACTTTGAAGCAATTCCCGATGCGATGGTTTTGGGATCTGCGATGGACGATGGAGCGTAGTCAAAGATCATACTTCGGCCAAACAGACAATCTGGGGCTTTAGCCACAAGGGGAATTTCACGACCTTCTAATTGCCTTCTCGAATGTGAATCGAAGGCTTCCGACGTTCCGTCACTGATCCTTCCTCCCGACAGGTCAGAAAGAACAGCATGCACTCGGGCTCCACGCGTATCAGCTGCAGAGGGCGCATGCTGAAAGGCGCAGCCCAGAGATCTCTGTGGCTGTGGCGCACTGGGTGGGCTGGCTGGTAGGTTGACAGTGGCGGGAATGCAGGGCCATCGAAGGCTACATGTAGTGGTTGCCCTGTGTAAGAAGGGGGGTCAGCTTCCTTGCTCTTCATCTCATATCGTCGCCAGGGCGCCCCGCGAAGAAACCAATACAGGTCACGAACGGGCGTTCCTCCGCTTTGCACCCCCTTCCAGCTCTTCTGGTGTGTCCAAACCCCCCCTAAGCAATGTCTGCAATCGGGGCCCCCGTCAAATTTTCCTTCTCGAAGCCGCAAGGAACAATTTGGCGATCAAGGAAAATTGGAGACCAAACTTATGGAGTCGGTCAACAAAGAGGTGTGGGTTTTCGGCCCAGTGGTAAGCAGGCCCATCGTCAGCATTCGGTCGTCTTTGCTTTTTGGCGTTGCAGGGCTCGTCTGGGCCTGATGTGATGTGCTGGGATGCTAGGTGCTGGACTGCTTCGTCAGGCGTGCGTCGTCACTGGTCGGCATGCTCGTGTCCTGTTTGGGAATATCGCAACGATAGTCCCAGGATGAGCCGGGTAGGTAAGGTAGGTCTCGTGTGCTGCGCGTGGTCTGTCCTACAGATGCCTTGCCTGTCGCAGCTGTGACCCTGCGACCTGCGACTTGATGAGGTGCAACGAGGAGTCCAATGTGGCCTGTCGCAGCTGACGTCTTTTGCAGTGTCTCTGATGGCCCTCTTTTTTTTTTCTTCGCCCCCTCCCTGAAATCCCTGGAAAAAGAACAGTCCAGGGTGTGTAGATCCTGATTCACTGCCAGCGAATTGGACAGCCGTGTTCGCCACGCGTGCCGGAAACGGGTGCGATGAGCGACAGGACGTAGTTTGTCAACCCAGCACGACCCGCTGATGTCAAATGCTCCCTAATAGGTAAAGTAGGCAGAGAAGAATATGGGATGAATGCTGGCCGAGCGCTTGGATCCGGTCGCGAGACCAGAAGTGGGAGAAACCCCCATCCTCTAACCTCACTGACGATGGAGCTGTACAACATGTACCTTTGTACCTGCCTATCGAGGGGGTGCATCTTTCGGACTATTGTACATAGTACGCCCTGGGGGACTGCTGAGGGGGGGGGGGGTTCTTCCAGCTGACAAGCTGGAGAACATCACACACCACGCTCGCTCGTTCCTCCGTTGATGGACGGCCAGCGCCTGCTTCCCGGCATCTGTCACATTTTCAAAGACCAACTCGCTACCTACAGTACCTACAGAACTGATCCATCAAACCGTTCTACCCATCAACTCCGACAAGAAAACTCGACCCCTCCCACTCACCAGGGCTTGGTTGATCACCAAACACACGACGATTCTTCCGAATCCAGAGTCTGCTTGCCGTCGTGGAGTGGACCAGGGGTACCCCTTCGAAGAACCGCAAGCCCGGCGCCAGTGTCAGTCTAATCAAGAAGCAAACCTGCCAAGTTGGCCACCAATAAACGCTCAACCGACGTACCCAAGTCATCCCGACATCCCGGCTGCACTATCATTTCGGCATTGATAATTGCTCTGACAGTCGGGTCGCCAGTCTTGCAAGAGCTCGCTCAATACCAAAACCTCAGCTCTCCAGCAGGCACCGCAGGTGCCGCACTGCACTGAACACCCCCGACTCGACCACCGTGACTCGAAGGAGGCTCTGTCCACAAAGGCCAATCATACTTGACTTGTTCGACACCCCCTCGGGCACTCCACTCGCCCAGACAAGGAGAGTACAGGCATCGCACCGTCTCTTCTTCATTTGTGGCCGGCGCCACAAGGAACCACCCACCTATACCCTGCTCGTCGACGCTGTTGTCGTCGCCGCTGCCTGTGGCAACTGCAGAGATGTGATGGCGCGGAGGCAGGAAGCAAGCAATGCAGTGCATCACGCATCCACAGCGAAAAGAAATGGTACCGTACCATCCATCGGGCAGTTGACGTTCGCCATCCCCTCCTTCCGAAGACCAGATAGGCCGGGCCAGCCTCCCCGTGTTACATTCGTCACATCGTGGCAACGGACATACGTCTATCTCTTGTTCATCCGGCAACTCGTCCATCTCTCCTGCCATTCACCTAGCCTGGCAAGCCTGGCAGCATGGCATCTTGCATGGCATCACATCACGCAGCTTCTCCCACAAGAGAAAGGCCGCCGACTAGCCCAATGATAGGCCTTATCCTCGTCGCGTCACTTGCACTAGCTGCGCAAGCCGAGCTGCAGCACATCAGATCGTCGCTCTCCAGATTACCAGCCCCCAGGGCCAGCCGCCCCAAGCCCTCCAGTCTGCAGCGCGAGCACGCCTATCGGCGTCGGTAGGCGGGTTGTTCTGTATCGCGCACCAGTCGTAGCCCGATGCCCCCCGCTGTCCACCTTCCACATTCAGGCCTTCCTCCTGAGCTTGTCCCTGGAAAAGGATAACAGGAACCACAAACCTCCCCGCACATCCCGCCCGCGCGCGCAACCCCCTCAGGCACCACCGGTCGACCTTCTCGAACCGACAACATGTCCCCGCTGTGCGTCCACATCATGGCCAGTAGCGCTTGCTCCCTCGTTCGCCGGCCGAGGCTGACACCTTTCAAGATGCCACGTTCCTTCGACGCCGTTCCCGCGATATCGGACGCCCTTGTCGGCGAGCTGAGCAGGCTCGCACGCGAGTAGCCCCACAAGAGTTTTGGGTTGAACCGCCTCCTGAACCCCCCACCCTCGGATGCACCCTGGGGCCCTTTGTTCGGGATGGTGACATCTTCCCTGTGCATTCGCCCTTGAAAACGCCCGCAGCCAGCCTGACCCTCCTCCTAAGTCGTCTCTGCTGACAGCAGCATTTCGTGATCCGGCATTCCCCCTACAAAATGGCGACGACTCACCTTGCTGGCCATCTCGGACAAATTTGTCGTGTGATCGAGGTTTGGCCCCTCTCGCGAGCAGCCGGGAGTGGAATGACGCAAATTTATCTGAGACGCACGTGCTGCATGTCTTCAGATAGCATTCATCGCGTTGCCCATCCATGCTCCAAATTCTGGTGCTTTTGCTTCTGGGTCTGGGTCTGGGTCTGTTCTGGTTCTGGTTCTAAATCTCGTGCCTTGCCACGACCCCCGGACTGTTTCGCTCTGGCCTCGCTGCTGATTTCCCCAATTCCGCCTTTCCGCGGCACCGGCACTGACACCGACGAGGAGGTCGTGACATGTGCGCCTTGATCCATACTTCAGCTACGCTAAGGAAACCTTACCATCAACCTCGCTTTGCTTTTCTCTCGAGATTTTGCCATTGCTTCTTCGAACGCCCTTTCCAACGCAGAATGCGCAAGGGGGCCATTGCTTGGTCGAGGCCCGCCTGATGGTTGCATCGGGGCCCCTGAACCGCCCAACTCGCTTGGACCCCTATCGGCATTCCATCTAGATTATGGTCATGGCCGCTGAGGTGCGGTTGAAGCCCGAGTTGCCCGGAACTGGGAATGGCGTCCCCAAAAGAATGAGCGACCATGACGATGATACTTAAAAAAACGTGCTAGCCAGGCGATTCGCCCTGCTGGCCGGAAACTTCCATCCAACGCGCATCACAGATCTCAATCAGATAGACCAGTCCAACTTCCATCTCGTCTCTTTGTGTCCCCCGCAACCTTGATCGGCACCCTCGGGCTGCGGCGGCCGCACAGTCGAAGCTTGTTGCCCTGTCCTCGCGTCTCAGCCTCGAAGCCACGCCCACCGTCGATCTCCAACAGGCGCACGCGCCTCCCCCTCGAGAGCGAACGCCAGCTCATCCCATGTACGGCGAACGCTTTGCCGAGAGTCAAATATATGACCATCTGAATCGAACCAGGCCTCGACGACAACGCGGTACACTACTTGAGCTTCCAGAAGAAACCCTCTGACTGGCTCGATCTGAATGCACTTCGATAGCACGCCTTTTGATTCGGCGCCGCCATGGCTATGGAGCCTCGGTCCTCCTCCCCCTGTCTTCCACCCCTCCGTTCTCCCTGGCCCGTCCATATCTGTGTTCGCCTGTCGGGCGCTTCGTGTACCATGTACAAGTATGTCTGTGTGCGTGTGCGCACACGCACCTCTGCGTGTCACCAACGCTCCACAAGTCTCGCCTTCTGGAAGCCTGGGTTACGTAAGTCTTGAGAGCGGGCTTGGGACTTGGCATTCTTCAGTTTGGGAGCTTGAAGTCACGTCGATACATTGACGGGGAGAAATATGACAGAGGCAGGGAGGCGGACACCCTTCCAAATGGGTTTCTGGAAGACAGCTCCACTCTCGTGATGCCTTTCTTGCTTTTATCCAGTGGCTGTGCGCCGCTTTCCTCTACCGATCATCCCATCTACCAGGGCGCAAGTATCGTGGATGATCCTGTGGAAGATGTGCCGTGGCTGAGAAAGCCATGGCGTGTATCAAGACACGATGTCAGCCCAATTATCGGACTGTGCCCGCCATGTGGTGGAAGGGACAGTATTTGTCGTGGCGCATTCGTGCTTGCAGAAACATCCAATGGGAGATCTGGAGCCAAGCGACAAGGCGTAGACAGAATACTTGATAAACGAGGATTGTAGTAACGAGAGGTCTGGTTATGAAGAGAGAGAGATAAAAAGACAAACTCCTATCAGACCGCCCCCAGTCACCCGATCCCATGGACCCCTCCTCTCCCGCCCGCCCTACTCCGTTCAGCCAAGGCCATGAGTCTCCTCTAAGCTCTATCGACACCCAGCTTGCCAATGGGTGTATGTACCATGCCCTGCCGCACCTTGATGCTGCCAAGTCCGTGGCTACCGCTCCCATACCTAAACAACACCGGATTCATCTCCCAACTCCGGTACGTTGCTGTCTTTGGTCTCGTACCACACCACCATTGTCCATTTCTCATTGCCAACCGGGCTGCCCCACCGTTATCATGGTTTGCTAAGTACATCAGGCATAATTCTTTTTACTCCCCCCTATGCAACCGACGACGCTTTCCTACTCACAATCCCATTTCCACTGGCGTGCGGAGAGTATCTAGGACTTAACATCAGACTGACCCTGGCTGTCGTCGGAAATGTGAATCTCAGCGGCCTCCGACGACGCAGCGTCATCATCGTCATCCCTCGGCGGCACAGCATTCACCCCATTATCAAGTTTGAGACTCCAGGTCTCGGTGCTGCCGGGCAGGGGCCCCTGCTCCTGAGGCCCGAACACGTCGTCGCTTTCTTGGGGAAGCAGGTCATCGACCAAGGGGGACTCGCTGCCACGGCCAGTCAGGTCCGGCACGTCCGAGTCGGCCTGTGCTTCGTCACTGGCGTAGCCTCCGAGCTGGAGCGTATCCGTGGTGTCACCCTCCTCGCCGATGCCGCTGAATGACCACGCTTGCTTGCCGGTGAACGTCTGAGACAGCCGACTCGCGGGAGCGCCCGCCATGCCGATACCTTCGTCCTCGATGCTGTTGTGGATCCGTTCGCTGCTGTTGTAGTCGGGCAGACCGTCGTCGCTGCGCGTCGACATGGTGTTATGAGCCAAACCACGACCTGCTGGCAGGCGAATTGCTCCGGCTCCGGTCCCAAGTCTCGACGATCCAGTTGGGGAGGAGCCCTCGCCGAGACGCCGGCCTTCCCCCGAATCTGCCGCGTCTTGTTCATCTTCCTCCTCTTCCGAACCGCTGTCAAATTTCTCGCAGATTTCGCGGAAGCGGGGTCCACCTAGGGGCACAGCGGAACGCCGGCGGTAAAACAAGAGGTACGCAGCCTTAGTGACGGAGCTCTCTGCTTTGCCAGCCGACACGCTCGTGTCTGCATTTGGTCAGTTAAACTGCTCAGTCATGCGTTTCGATGTTGCAACTGACCATTGAAGTGATACCACTGATTGTCGACGAAGTTCTTGGCCCACGCCGTATAATGACCACCGCCGAGGCCACCAAAGTGCTCGTCGACGGCGCACAAGTCATACATCTCTTCCTTGCCATCTTCCTGGTGCAAGACGCGTGTCCGCAGATCGAGGCCCTCAATGGGGAAGTCAACTAGCACATCCAGCTTGTCTCGCCGGTAGCCGGAAGAGCTGAATCGTTTGAGATGCACAACGAGAATGTCAGGCGTCTTCCACAGGTCGAACTTCTTGCTTGCACGGCGATGTTCTTTGCAGCGCGGGCAATACCATGTATCCTGCTCGGATAGAATTTCGGCCTTCTCGAACTCGTCCAGACACTCCTCGAGCGTGATGCCCTTGGAACGGCGAGCTTGGCGCTTTTTCCGCTTCAGCTCCATGTTTGGATCGCGAAGGCGCTCCAGGTCGTTGAACGTGGGACTTCCACGCAGATCGTCATTACCGTGATCTGTATCGCCGAAAATACCGTCCCAGGCATTGCTGTCCCATTCGACAACGATACCCTCTCCGAAACGAACCAGGGGGCCGGGCACATCATCCGTGGGTGAGGGTTGCGGCGCAACATCGGGCATGCGCACTTCGCGCGAGTTCATCTCCCTGTGACGGCGCTTATTGCCCTTTTTGCCGTAAGTTTTGTGAGGCTTCATCTTTTTCTTGCTAGCGCCAGGCTTCTGACCATTAGGTCGCTGGGATGCTCGAACACTAGCCTACATAGGTGTCAATCATCAACATCCCGTGAACAGTGTCGTAGCTGTAGACCGCAAAAGTTTCGCGAGTACAGTGCATGTGGGGGTTCTTTGAGCTGCTCACCTTGGGGGGCTTAACGACTGCCTCTTCCTCGCTCGACTCTTCATTCATGCGAGTTTGTGCCGGAGTTGAGGCAGAGGATTGCAGGTCGCTAGTGCTGTCGTTGTCGCTGTCGCCATCACCGCCGTTCGTCCAGGTGCCCGGGCTGTTCGACTCATCTTGGTCGCTTGATGACTCAGGTGGCGGCGCTCTGGATGATAGTTTGTGTAGAGATCGGTCAAGGCTATTCCAGCCAGAAGGCACAACGTCGCTGCTCTCACCGCCGAAGTAAAACAGTTCGAAAAGGTTCTGGAGCTGGGGTGGCAGATAAGACTGTGAGTCCGTCGCCCACTTGGGTCGACGCGACTCAAACCGCTTCAGCAAGCGGTCATTAGTAGCGGCGGTCGTAGCAGCAGTTGGCTCGCCATTGCCCTTCATCGACACTTCGACGATGTCGTCCTCGCCCTCGACTGATTGAGCAACGACTTTAGAATCACCCATCTCGGTATCGGACTGTGTCGTGACAACCGTCTCAGGATCAAGCCCATCGTCAGAGTCGGCGAAGCCGGCAGCGGTAGTGAATGTGGCGATCTTCTCAAGAATCTTGCGCCGGATAACATCCTCATTGTTGGCCTGTTCAATGTTAGCAGGAACGATTGCTAGACCCTTCGGTGCCTCTTACCTCTTCTCTCGTCAGAACGATGAAGTGAGGAGGTGAAGCGCTGTCATCCCGGCTATATCGATTACCAGCAGCTTGCTTCCGATGCAGGACAGAGACGACAAGGTGTTCGGTGCGTGGGTCGACATAAGGCTCCTCGTCAATGTCTAGCATGGAGCGGTGGCCACTAGACTTGATCCAGTTGGTGGGCGACGACTCCAGCTCGTGGAAGGTGGCGACATCGCTGCCGGTAATGGCTTCCGAAGCGTCTTCGTTGTCGGAGTAAATCTTGAAAAACTTTCCTTTGAACTCTTCTGCGCCAATCAAACGGTTGACGGGAACACCAGTCCGATCAGAGATGGCCTTCTTGAGCAGTTCAACAGCGCTGTGTTTTGGCAGTTCGACCTCGACAAGTACAGGACGATCGTTGAGGGGGAAGAATTTAACTGAAGCGCTCCAAAGATCTTCAATTGGCAGAGGAAGGGTCAAGTTGTTGAAAGGGTCAAACGTGATGCTGACTTTGTCGCAAACGGGGCATTTAAGTGTAGACTTGTACATGCCAGTAAACAGATCAGCGATGACAGAGTCGTCTCGCTTTCGGGTGATATCCCAGACCTCTTCTGCCATTTTGCGAATGGCCTCCTCGTTGCCGATCATCTCATCAGTCGAATCGGGCTTTTCGATGTACGGCTTCTTCTTGATACGACTCAGATCTTCCTGCAGACCATCCAGAAGAAAGCCGAGAAATTCCTGCGTATCCTGCTGGCCCCATCCAGAAAAGGCGCTGCGACAACGACCGATTGTCACCTTGAACTCACGAGGGCTGACGGCCCCTCTTGAGTCGCGGTAGATCTCCTTCAAGAGCTGCCCATACGTGATGGCTACTTGGCCATCGTAGCCAAGAGGATTGTCGCGGTTCAACTCCTTCTCATACTCGCTTGTGAGGAAATACTTCGTCAACTCCTCGACACTCCGGACACACTGAAGTGCCGAGTTCATGTAGCACGTGTTTCCCAAGTTCTGCAGACCAACAGCTCCGACGCTGCGACCCGACCTTTTCTGCTGCGTCCTGCCGCGAGTTATAGGACCAGAGCGAGCTGATGGTGCAGGGCTGTTCCGACCGCTGTTGTTGCCACTGGACTGAGTTGTCTTGCCATTTCCCACTCCTCGAGAGGCGATGCTCTTGGCGTTACCCTTTCTCTTGAAGTACGTCGACACAAATTCCCCCCTCTCGACTTCCTCGTCAAGGACCAGAATCTGGCTTTGCCCAAGAGCCTTCATAGACAATGAGCTTCTCCCATTGTAGTTGGCATTGACTGTGTTGTCGATGGCATCGACCTTACTCCGCCGCAGCGAATCCACGGCCAAGTACGTCGGCACGTCTATCAGCATCTTCTTCCACGATTCCGGGGGAGATGCAGGCTCGCGTTCCGGCGAATCAGGCGGCGTCAACGCGGAGTGAGGCTCAACATCCATCTGAGAAGGCTCCGGTTGGGGTGCTATTGACCATACACGTATTTTGCGGTCCAATGGAATGCCCGTCTTTGTCTTGAGCTCTTTGAAGAACTCATTGTAAGATGCAGAGGTGCTTTTGACCACGACGATTGGTGCAGCATCCTTCAGCTTGGTCTCAATGGGGATTTCACTCCCACTGGACCACAGTCGATGAATGGTGAAGACGGGAGGGTTGATCTCAAAAATGATATTCGCCGAAGGAGCCGAATCTTGCGCGGTGTTGATGGCCTTGCGGATGATGGGGATCTGCCCATCGGAGAGGCCGTACCACTCCGATACTAGGGTCCAAGCATCGTCAGGGAAGAGCGAGACGTCGCCATCTAAGCTCACTCCATCTCTCAGGCGCACAAAGGGGCCCTCGTCTGTGGCTAAAATGCTGTCGATGATGTCTGAATTGTCCACAGGGCCAAGACGTTCATCTGACGGACCGTCTTTTGTGTTCTTGGGGTCACCAAAGGCTTGGGCTTTACGCACCCATGACGTGGACACCAGGTATGCGGTATCGCCCACCTTCGGGACGGTTTCCTCAAATCCGAGCACCAGTGTCTGAATCGTTTTAATCTGCTCTTCGAGAGGTGGTGGCTCTGCAGGCTGTGGTCAGCTATACACTCTTAGCCGTAAATAGCTGTCTTCCGTAGTTACCTATCACTCTATCTATCTGCGCAACCTGCACGCCTGAAGCGGGCTGGTCATCCGGCAAATCGATGCTCATGGCCCTCGGCAGTTGGGCTCGAGTAGTCGTTGACCCGTGTTGTGCTGTGCTCTGAGCGGACTCGACCGAATCCGCCTCCTGGGCCCCTCGCATCTCCGTGTCTTGCTGTGGTTCCATGCTGGAAGCGCGTCGTTTCAAGGGTGAAGAAGACCGTTGAGGGGCGTTCCCATCTCCTCCCATGATAGCCCGGCGGGAGACGTTGAAGGGTGACTGGCTTCGGGCCGTGTCATGCGGCTGCAGAGGCCCGGTCTCGGTGCCAGAGGTATAGCCGCCGCGGTCGCTGTCGAGGGAGAGGTCGCCCACGCCCGAGGGAGAAGACGCAGCACTATCGGGGTACTCGGTCGACGTCAGAGAGACCTGGCGAGTCTGGAGTCTGGCAGGCAGACTCGAGGCGGGATTGCTTTCGGCGGATTGCCACCAGGGAGCGGCCACGGGGGGAGCTTCGACCTCAACCTCGGGCGAGCCGTGGCGGTTGTCGCTGAAGGCGGTGGAGGTGAAAGAGAGGGCGGGGTCGTCGTCGGGTTCGCAGGAGGGCAAAACTATGTCGGGATAGGGGGTGTGAGGTTGCAGCTGGTCGTTATCTATGTGTCGCGGCGCAATCTTCCGCTTCTTTGAGGAAGACGTTGTGATGGCGAGCTGCCTGTGCAGCTCGAAGAGTGCAAGCCCGGGAAAGGCAGTCGCGGGGGAGACAGTCCGGAGGACGATGGAGGAGCTGGCTACCCTGGTTAGTGTCGCTTCACTTCGCTTCGCGCGGTCGGTGAGGCAGTGCTGCCTTGATCAGCAGGTGAGGCGAGAGGTCAGCAGCAAAAAAAAAAAGAGGTGACCTTGGAAGAGGTTTGCGTGTGCTGTGCGACAAGGCTATGGAGGAGGGCGAACGACGCTGGGGGGCAGGCCTTGAGGCAGAAGAAGGGCGGGTGGTGGTGGGCAGAGACAACCAAGAAAAGGTACCTACCTACTTAGCCTCCGGTGGACGGTGAAGAAAGTACGTCAGTGGAGGGGAGGGAAAGGCCGTGGCAACCGTGACTTGGGCGCCGCTCGTCTCGACGCAAGAAGGTACACTAGTCGACTGACAATGCTTCTCGACCAGTTCAGAGGAGACGTAAAAGCCCGCAAAAATAAGAGAGACTCGATGTGTGCGGATGAAGCAAAAGCTGAACTGTTGCGCCTGTAAGAGGTTTTGCGAGAATGTATTTTTTGGAGGTGCAGTGGAGGGGTTTACAGTAGCAGGACTGGCCAGGCTTGAGGGGCGCTGCGGGAGGAACCAGCTGGACGACTCATGGTCGGTGCCAGTGCCACCTGCCAGCGGGTAGCCCCTCCTGTAGCTGGGTACATCAGTTGCCTCATCCCGGCAGGAGGATAGGTACCTTAACTTAAGGGCGACACAGAATGAGCTCCATCGGCAGCGGTCTGAGTCGTGGCCGACCTGATCTGGAGGCCTACGACTGACAGTTGCCTGCTGTGCCTGTTTGGAGCCAGTCACTTGGAGCTCCTGAAGCATGCGATTGAGATCTGTCACTGCGCGAAACATCCTCGTTGACCACTGGGTAGCTACTCCCTAGGCCCATTTCCGCGTAGTGCTTTTGACACACTTGCGGCATCTCGACTTGACTACAAAAACCCACTGGTGCCGAGATTTTTTTTGGTGTGTGTGTGTGAATGGAGCTTTGTACAATACCTTCGGTGTCTTAGCGTTGAAAAAAGACCCACGTCCTGATCAGGGAGAGCCTCGTCCTGCACGTCACTGAGGTACAAGACGTATGCGGCCAGCACTCCATCAAATGCACCAGGCAACCCTAGGACCGGCCGGTTCACCATGTAACCTTCAACAGATTTCTCGCAAGACGATTCGGCCATGTCATAAGCTCTATCCAGAACCCTACATTGATTGATTGTTGTACTATTATGACAATCCGGAAGTACTTGCACCCTTCTGTCTGTCTCACATGTCGTAAAAATGAAGCAAAAATTAAACCAACCTATTCTCCCTTACCCTACCATACCACCTGTCTGGCAACACGTGTCTGGCTGGGAAGGTCGCTCCTGTTTAGTAGACGTGCTTGGGTTAGAGAAATCCCCAGCCATTACGTACTTTGCCGCTGCACAGAGAAATTTGCACTCTATTCGCGAATGACAATGCTCGAGGGTGCCAAGTCTAAGTGCCGTCTAGTTGATTCCAGCCCGAATACCTCTTTCGCCGCCGAAAGCTCCTCACGCCTGGATCAAAGCTCCTTCTGGAATCAAGAATCTAGATACCCGCAACAAATCCGGATCCTGCCCAGGTGCATCAGCTAATCGAGCTGCTGTTGCTCCTTCTCACTCTTCTCCTTTCCGTTCTGATCAACTTGCTGGTGCCCGCGATTCCGGGCCCCACCAAGTCATGGGTAATACTCAAGATAGTCCACCGCTACGCTATGTCATGCCTTGCAGCATGAACCAGATGTTATTGAAAAGTGTTCGTGGCATCCTGGGCTACCACCGTCGCCCGTGTCCCAGACATATTTTCCGTTGTGTCAGAGCCCGAAGGCTGAGCTCATAGTTTGGCGTCCAAATCCAGGTACTCGCTGAGATCTTTACCAGCCTGGGCTCCCGATGTGGCCTGAAGCCTAGCCCTGTGGGCACGGACGTCCGTGATGATCTGGGGCTTCGACTCGACCGAAGCCTTGTCTTCTTCCTTGACACCATTCACCTTCGGACCTGTCTTCGGGTCGTGCGCGGCAGCAATGACGGTGGAGACCTTCTCCTCGGGCAATTGCAGCTCGCTCTGGAGATACAACTTCAGGTTCTCTGTGTCGTTCCTCATCTCGGGACGTAGCAGCGCTGCCTTGACCTTGGTCTCGGCCGTCTTGTCAAGGCTGAGCTTTTGGAGCAACTCCGTCATCTTCTCATCGGATTCGGCTGAGGACTGCGCAACCAGATGCACCGAGACCTTGGCTCGGGTTGCCGAGCCAGGTTTGACAAATGTGCGATAGAACTCGACCATGTCGGCCTTGGTCAGTTTCTTAATGTGTTCGGCATCTTGCTGGGCTAACGGGTACGCGCGTCAGTAATGAATCTCATATCGGGAGGAAAACTTGTATCTCATACCGAGTTCAAATGTGTAGTACTCGCTGGCGATCTGAGTCCAGTGCCGGCTGCTCTCTTGGTCAAGGTTCTTGACTTTCTCAAGCCTCTTGACGATAAGACTCCGCTTGTGACCCTCGAACTCCGTATCGGTCATAGCGTCGATGATCGTAGACAGATGGTTTAGGAAAGCCTCAATCCTTGATTCAAGGTAGTCGCAGGGACGCTCGCTCTGGATGATAAAGCGGAATCCGTATGTGGTTGAAAAGCTACGAACACCGCTGAAAACAACGTAGCCTAGTTGCTCCTTCGTCCGCAGTTGGTCGAAGGCAGGCTCGTGGGCTATCTGGTCGAGCAGAAGTGTTCTAGCCCGCACATTCCAGTCACTCTTGTCGCCAACGTAGAATACAGTCTCAAGACAATGGTTGACGTTGGCAGGGTCCTTCAACGTCTTCTTGTACACAAAGTTGGATCCGGGAGGGAGGATTAAGGAACGGGTGACTGGCCACTGAGTCTGCGGGAGGATGCGGGGCTTGAGTATCGTTTCGACCATATCCGTCAGCTTCAGGGCGTCCTCCTTGTAGATGTTGCCGTGTGCGTAGGCCTCGATGCGCATCTGCGCGAGCATCTGCTTCTTGAACTGCCGAATGTCCTCGGCGCTGATATTGGGGAGCTCGGCGAGATATTCCTCAACGACATAATCGCGTTCTGAGTTCAGCCACGTTGTGTAGTCGGACACTTGGCTGAACGGCTGCTGAAGCTCCCAGTTGTTGTATCCCCGGTGAAGACGCTCCTTGATGATGTCGAACCGGTCATCCTTGATCTCGACATCTCGGATGGTGACGAGAACCTGTTTCAGCAACACTGCCAGCTTATCATTGTAACCGCTAAGGTCAAGAAACATGCCGCGCCCATCAAGCGCAACACTGTACTGTAGGCCGGCGAGCTCGGCGTCGTAGGAGTATTCCTCGAGGGCGTCACGGACCAAGTCAGTGAACAGCTTGGCCTTGACGGCATTCTCGGCTGATGAATAGATGTTGGGGTTCCTGCAACTGATGACCAGGTTGGCCTTGGGAACCCAGAAGGTGTCATCCTTCTTGAACCAGGTCCGTGCCAAAAGGTCGTTGCGAACAATGCGGGGAGCAAGGGCTGGTTCCTTGACTTCCTTCTTTTCGACTTCGAGATTCGTGGGGATGAAGTTGTTCTTGTGCGGGAGGTGTAGCTCTGGCAACCTGTCCTTAGCGCCTGATGCCGCCGCCTTCTCTATCTCCGCAAGGAAGTCGGCGGGAATGTCCTCGTAGCGGTACTCTGTGCCGTACCACTTCTCCTTGCGGTCCCAGTTACCGGGAAATTTGCGTGACACTATCGTCAAACGAAGGTTGTCGGGCCTCAGACATGCCAGTCCCTCTCGAATCAATTCGGGGTCGAATTTCCTCAGCTTGCTGTGCCCGCTCAGCAGCCACTCGCGTGGAAGAGGCTTTTGCATGACCGAACTGATTTTGCTCGTAAATCTGCTGGCGGGCGTTTTCTGCTTGAACTTGAAGTCGACATCGGCCAAGCCTTTCTGCTCATCAAAGATCCACTCCTGGGGCGAGGTCTCCTGCAGCAGCGAGACGTACTGGAAGAAGATTTTCGTGATCTCCTGGTAGTTCTTGAGGCCCTGGGAACGATACAGTTAGCCAGGAATGTGAGGGGCACGGTTTCTGACTGCACCCACCTCTTCGGTCAGCCGAATCTGGCAGTCAAAGATGCCACCAGTTCCGGGACATACGGGATAGGTCCCAGCGCTCAAACCGTTCGCCCAACCCTTTGACTTGACGTAGGCCATGATGCTGCCAGGACCCTCGTGGCCAATCAAGTGACTGAGGTATCTGCTGGGCTGCGATTCGTACATGCGTTCCTCGTCCATAAAGGGGAAATAGAGATTGAGCTCTCTCGAATCCATGACAGGCTTGGCGAAGATCTGGATGCCAAGCTCGCTCTTCCTGAAGGGCGCCTCGCTCTCCCAGCGGTTCTGGGGGAGGTTCTTGTTTGACACGCCGGCAAAGAACTCCGACACCCAGCCTTCCAGAACATCGAGAGATTCCCTGCCTAAAACGACTAACTTCATGCGGTTGGCCGAATAATGCTTGTCGTGGAACTCCATAAACTTCTCGCGCACGTTGATGCCTTTTGCTTCGGGTTGAATCTTCAGGACGTCCAGGTTTCCTGTGGAAAAGTGGCAATAAGGGTGGTTTGGGTTTGAAGTCGACTTCTCTAACTGATGTAGACGCCATTGGTCGCTCTGGAGGTTCTTCTTGTTCTCCGAGTCAACAGCTCGCAACTCTCGGTCCAGGGTAGATTCGAGGAAGAGAGGCTCGATGAAGAATTGGGCGAAGCGATCCAGTGCCCCTTTCAGCGCTGACGGGGTTCTGGTCTGTGGGTTCTAGGTCGTTTGCGGGCCTTGCCGAGATCTCGAAAAAGTAGTGGTCGAAGTCGGCTCAGTGTATGTCGTTTGAGCTGCAGA